TTCGGGTGTTGATTGTAAGCTTTATTGCATTGTGGTCTGATAGAATGCATGGAATTATTTCAATCTTTTTGTATTTGTTGAGGTTTGTTTTGTGCCCCAGTATATGGTTGATTTTGGAGAAGGTTCCATGAGGTGCTTAGTATAATGTATGTCCTTTGGTGCTTCGGTAGAATACTCAGTTGATGTCTGTTAAGTCCATTTGATATATGGTATTGTTTAATTCAGATGTCTCTCTGTTAACTCTCTGCCCTGTTGACCTATCTAATGGAGATAGTGGGGTATTGAAGTCCCCTACTATTAATGAGTTGGGGTTAATCTGGATCTTAAAGTCCTGTAGTATTGTTTTTATGAAGTTGGGTGCACGAGAGTTTGATGAATATATGTTCATGATTGTAATATCTTCTTGATTCATTGTTCCTTTGATCAGAATGAAGTGGCCCTCTTTGTCTTTTCTGATCAGCCTTAGTTTAAAGACTATTTTGTCAGATGTTAGAATTGCTATACCTGCTTTTTTCTTAGTGCCATTTGCTTGGTATATTTTTTTCCATCCTTTCACTTTGAGATAGTGTCTGTCCTTGAAAGTGAGATGAGTTTCTTGCAGACAACAAAAAGATGGGTTTTGTTTCTTAATCCATTCACATAGTCTGTGTCTTTTAACTGGGGAGTTCATTCCCTTAATTTTTAAAGTTATTAATGAAAGATGGGTATTAAATGCTGTCATTTTTATTTCTGTTTACATTCTTGATATAGCTGTACCTTTCCACAGTTATACCTTCATTGGAATTCTTTCCGAAATCCCTTGGGTATAGTCATTCCTTTCCTCAGCTCTTCGTATTGCTTCCAGAACTCCCTGAAGGGCTGGTTTTGTGGACATGAACTCCTTCAGCCTATTTATGTCATGGAAGACTTTTCTTTCCCCTTCAACTATAATAGACATTTGGCTGGGTAAAGTAATCTGAATTGGAATCTGTGATCATTTAAAACTGGGAATACTTTGGTCCAGGCTCTTCTGGCTTTCATAGTTTGCACTGAAAAAATCAGCTGTAATCCTAATGGGTTTTCCTTTATATGTGACTTCTTTTTTCTCTTTTGCAGCTTTCAGTATTGTCTCTTTGTTTTGTATGTGTAATTTTTTTTACTATGATGTGCCGTGGAGAGCTTCTTTTCTGGTCCTGTCTGTTTGGTGTTCTGTATGCTTCTTGTATTTGTATGGGCATGTCTTTCTTTAATTTTGGGAAATTTTCTTCCACAATTCTGTTGAAGATCTGGTCCATGCCATTATCTTGGGATTCTTCTCCTTCCTGCATGCCTATGATTCATAAGTTTGGTCTTTTTATGATGTCACACAATTCCCGCATATTCTATTCTTGTGATTTCTTAAATTTTTCATAGTCTTTCCTTGAGTGGTCTAGTTCGTCCACTTTATCTTCCAGTCTTGATACTCTGTTTTCCATTTC